TTCTGATTATATAGCACCTGGGAGAATGGATCTTGGAGATTCAGAAATGGCAGAAGCTGGTATGTCAGTTTTTTGTTTCATTTTAATATAAGGTTCCAACTACATATCTTTCATTTATTTTCATTTTGAAATTTGATTCTAAGAAGAACAATCAGAAAATGTTAGTTCAGGTGTGTAGTGGTTTTTATCACATTCAACTTTGCTGTGCAAAATCTGACAAAACCTAACAAATTTTGCATTTTAAAAATCACTCTCAAATGATATGATTGGTGATTAAAACACAGATTCCTTGATGGTGTCCTTGTATTTTCTGCATTGATTATCAATTTCCTCCTCATAGAAAGACCCTTGAAAAGGGGAATTTGTTGACTGATTTCATCAATTCTGTTGAATATATTTAAACAGATGAATGAGTATCAACCTCTTTCTAATCAAATAAATAATATGGAAATAGGCAGACAAAAAGAAACTATAAAGAACATTATACCATCTGCTTGTGAGACTTCAGTATTTCCAGGTAAGTTGCTTTGGCCAAAACCAATTTTTTCCATGGGAGATATGTACTTGCCTAAATAGATTTTTTTTCAACAAAATTTCTGAACTGTTGCTTTCTTGAACCAGGTATACCTGGATGGCTTTCCCCCTACCTGAATAATATACTTCCTACATGTAGCCAAAAGCTCCGGGAGCGTGGCATTCCCAATGACCTTATCTCACATGTTGAAAGACATGCTTTAGAATTGCTAAACAGTGAAAAGATTTCTGATAAAGTTGGCCAGATGAAACCAGAAAAAATAGATGCATATATAAACCATATTTTGCCACATTATCACCAGATTGCAGCCAACCATATAGTTCAAAAATGATAAGTGTTTGGAGTGGGTTTTATAACCATGATTTTTATTTATCATAAAATATAATAACATATGTATACAACAAAGTCTCTAACAACCTCCCAAGAAGTTTAAAATTCAAAAATGGTCAAACACAATCTTCAATTGGGGAAAGATTTTTGGATTCCACCCTGTCAGTTTTGGCAAAGGGAAAAAATGTGAGCTTGAAATTGATAGTGTTGCACCAACGCTGAGCCAGCTACGCTAACGGTAGTGTTAGCCTAGTGTAGTGTAGCGCAAATACGCTACATTGTAGCGTAGTGTTAGCGCAGATTTCTGTATCTGCGCTAACGCTACGCGTGTGGGCCGCAAAAAAGGGCCCACTACGCTGCGCTACAGCAAATTTTAGCGGTCTTTTGGCCGTTTTTGCCGCTAAAAGCGCTGTAGCGCAGTGGCACTAACAGCGCGCTAACACTACAGGTTTGGCGCGCTGTTCTGAGGGCCGCTACGCTAACGTTAGTGGGTCGTTTAGCGTAGTGTAGTGTAGCGGCCCACCGTTGGTTGCACTAAAGGGTCTTCCAAGGTGAGGCAGATGGTTGATCACACCATTTCTGATAAATTGTACAAGTCCTCCTTGCTTTCATTTGAAACCAGCTAAGTGAGTTTAAGAGGCAATTTATTTGGAATCTTCTTTTGGATGAGGGAGGTTTTTCTTTGAAGTATCAAGTGTGTTCTGAATCCCGAGGGAATTCTCAAGACAATATTTCAAGCAAGGAAGAATAGCCAACGTGCCATGCAAGGATTCAATCAATGTGATGGGGGAAAAAAGGCTCTACACTTGTTAATAACCTGGCATGTCAGCCTTAGAGATACTCCAGAGCATCCAAAAGTCTGCTAATAATAAATATATCTAATATTACTCACTAAACAATAAAATAAACCCTGAAGATTATTGAATACTCTTTATTTACATATAATTTTAGGTGGGGTCTCTCACTGGAGCTACCCCTAAAATCCTACTCCTTCTAGGACTTTGTTAATACTCAAAGACCATGAAGTCAAGTAGGAACAAAATACTGTAAATTAACTAAAATAATAAATTGAACCTAATGTATATTAAATTAGGGTTAAATATACATTTAAGACTGTATTATACAAGAAATAAATATGTAGAATAGAAATTACCACACTAGTGTAGTGTGTGACAATTTCTATTAGTATTATTCTACTTTAGAGGACACATGATGTAATTGGCTATAAATATGAATCATGATGTCATGGGACATAGAATATAATTTTATTAGAAAAATTACAACATTCCAATTACATCGTTGGATTATTTCTACTGTTGTACATTAAAAAGGAGATTCTAGAATATTCTAAGAAATGACCCCCAAGGGATCTCTAGAATATTTAAGGAGGCCTTTCTCCTGCCTAGGATGGATTCCTCAGCATATTCACCCCCAGTACACTTAGTGAGTACAGTGAATATTCTCCACCTACTTTTAGAGCAGTCTTTTTATCCAATCCAAACCTACCTTCTTACTGGAATTACTATTAAGCTGAGAGCTATCCCAGACTCAAAACTTAACTAATTCCTTAAAAAGTAGTTGCTGCAAGACCACCACCTCTGACTGTAGCCTTTCAGCTCAGGTGGTTGCCAGCTACTTCCTGTGATATTAATTATTGCTTCCAAACACTCTACAATAACATATTCTGTTATTGTCTCCTACAGTGCTCTCTTGATTATTCAAGTGTCATTAACTGAGGAGTGTGGACTTTTTAACCTCTTAAGTGGGAAGTTTGGACCACTTAATACTTTGAGGGTGACTAGGAGTAATCTTTTTCTTTAACCTGAGTCCTTCAGCACAGTGATAGTACTTGGCTTTTATACAAATTAAGCCAAAGTTCCATACACCTAGCTGACATGGCATGATTCAGGTTGTTCAATGGAGGCAGTTGAGTTTTTAGTGGTGAATTGTGTGGAGCAGAAGTTTTGAGTAGAGGAAACATTGATTCAAATTGACAAGAATCAAAAAAAAATCAATTGCATGTAAGAGCAATGCTAATAGGGTCTTATCATAACCTGTTGAGGGAACAGGGACTGAACGCTGCAATGAAGTCTAGACTCCCAATAGGGGGTATCAAATATAACCAAATCCACTATTATCCAATTGACAGGTTTGAAAATATCCCCCATTTATTCATTTAACCCCTTTGGGGGCCTAGCAATGATTATTTTAGGAAAAGTGACTGGTTTCTAATGGTGGATTTCCTGTATTTGATACCCCCCCCCCTCATGGGGATCTTGTCAGCAAGGATAACATGGTTATGATCCAGTAAGAAGAGAATGAAGAGAAACTCAGTGATACCCATAGAAGAATAGTAATGGGAAGCTTGGTAAAAGAGCCAGCCAGACCAAACTTTCCCTCAGTATTCCAATGGCCTTAATCTCATGACCTGGAAAAGAAGTAGAATAAATATAGTAAATTTACACCAAAGTAATCCCTGTTTGCAAACAGGCATACAGGGTGCTGTATTCTTCCAAATATTCCAGCTGCAGTCAGTAGTTTCTTTTTTTGAATCTTCTGCCAACAAAGACTGCAAGATTTATTGTTTAGGCGGTACCTTTCTATTCATTCAATTCATCTCTATTTCATTCAATATGATTGTCTCTAATTTTCACTCCCACTTATCATCCCAAGAAGCAAAGCATGTGCCCTTCAGGATTAATCTTATTTTCACCTTGTTTGACTGAATCAGTGCATCTTTCATTATTCAAAGTTTAATTAAATCACTTTTTACTCTAAATTTCCACACTGCTGACATAATTGGCTGGGTTTTGGGTATCCCAGTCAAAATGGTATGCACTCAACCAATTTAAACTTGTCTGCAGCTCAACCAATGATATATAGATACAAAGTTCAATGCAACCATACAATTGAATCATATCACTCTGATCAAAGGCAAAAACCAGCAAATATGGGTCTGCTTCTTCTTCTCGCTTGCGTTGTTTTGGAACATGGGCACATACATAGCAGAGCTTTGAGTGGAATCTATTATTCAGCAAAAAAATTTGGTTGTCGCGGTGAAAGTGCAAACTTCTTGGTATAAATACAAGATCTGGGTTAAAATGATACATTTCTTAAGAAAACCAGTTAACTTACACAGCCATTTTTCAGCTTCTTCTTCTAAAGTGTTTTAAGGACATACATAGAAATTGTAACATTTAGGTACATCTGTCAGGCCAAATTCTCCATTGTCTCAGGGAAAGCAAAGACTTGGCGTACAAGGTCAGAGGAATACTTGCATATCAAAAGAAAAAAACAAAAACCTGATCCATTATACAACCATTTTTCTTGCTTCATTTTGGAGTACAGACAGAAATCTATTGAGGCCAATATGTTAGACCGAGAGCCCAATTGTCACATCAAAAGGGAAGACTTGGCATACAAATTTTGGAAAATAGTGAGGACAAGGTTAAGTTGCATTTAAGTGAGTTTTGACGAAGATTTTTCAGTGTTTCATTTGTTGCTGTGACCATTGCAAATCAGTATCAGAAGGAGTACAAATTTGGCAAGGGCAACACAAAAAATCATGTGCTGGTGTACTTTGTTCATAGAAAGAGCAGGGAAGGTAGTATTATAAATAGCCCTATAGTTTTACAGAAGGTTTACATCTCATTACCACCACTCAACTGAATTCCTCATAATCATTGCCTCTTATCCTTTACATTGTTATCAATATCAAAATAATAGACCCACCATCCTCAGCCATGTTATTAACTAAGATCTTGGTTGCTTTTCAGCTCCTACATTACTATAGTGTTTCAGCCTATCCACTTTCACTTTCAGCAAATCTGGTCAAGCGATCAGAACATTTCTTCAATCCAGTTTTAGATTTGACATGTATGTAAATTTTATATTCATCCTTGCAAGGTTTCAAATAGTAGGATTTTGTTTTCATATTCTAAATGTTGATTACTAATGATTACCATCTTACAGCCAATGGAAAAACAGTAGATGAAGGACTCAACATAGAGAAAGGTACAAAAGGTAGGGAACATTTCCCACAGATCCTTTGATGTTTTCCATTGGCATATTTCTTACTTTTTGAAGTTTGGAATGTTAATCCTTCAATGATTCTTATTTCATAGGACTTGTGAGAATGGACCATGAGAAAGCAGGAATGGAAGACTCTAGTAATTTAATTTGTTGATCCATTCTTAGTTTCCAATCACATATCTTTTACTTATTACCATTTTTTTCATTTGACATCAAGATCATGGACTATCCAACTTGAAAGATGGCAGTTTTGGTAAGCAGTGTTTTCAAATTTGAACTTGCCATTCAGAATGCAATACTTGACAAATTGCTTATTTCAAACATTAATGTTTGATATTGTGGGTCATTGAAACAGAGATTCCTGAATGGTTTTCACACCAAATTAATGAACAATTTTCTGTTCAAAGAAAGGAACTAGAGAAGGGGAATTTTCCCACTGATTTTATCACCTCTGTTGAAAAGGATGTTCAAAAGATGATTAAAGATGAGAACATTGCTGATCAAATAATTCATATGGAGAGAGGAAGACAAGAAGAAGCTTTGAAGAATTTCATATCACATGCTTTCAAGACATCAGTTACAGAACACAGGATTCCAGGTATGCAGTATTTTCTGAGACCAATTTTGCCATTCAAGATACTTGACATGAAGAGTTTCCTGTGTTAAACAAAAAATTTGAACTGGTTGGTTTTTGAAATAGACATTCCTGGATGGTTTTTCCCCTATGTCAACAAGCTATTTTCTAATGGCAGAGAAAATCTCCAGAAGGATGGCATTTCAAATGACATTATCAACTCTGTTGAAGAATATACTCTAAAATTGCTTAGAAATGAAAAATTTGCTGAAAAAGCTGGACAGATCAAACCAGAAGATTTCGATGAATTCATAAACCACAGTTTGAAATATTTTTACAAGATAGCAGTGGAAAATATAATATTGAAACCAGAAAAATCTTTTGGCAAGGATTCCTAGGAAAATGGGTATTTCTTATGAACATAAACTATCAAAAACAAGATTGATGAATTTAGAATACCTTTTTATATTGTCACTTTTCTCCATTTCAAAAAAATAGGTGCTCTGCATATTTCATCTTATTTCAATTTGTTTTCATCATTGTTCACTTCATGTGAATCAAACCATCTCCAATTATTTTTAGTTTGAATACATGCTTGGTTCCATGAATAAAAATGTAAGAGCTGTGAATGCTCTTCACTGATGCTCTCACAAATTGGTTGGGACAAGGCATTGTGCCTTGGAGAAAACTTCTAGTACCATGTTTGGATGAATTACTAGCATTGGTAGGAGGAAGAACTCTCATTGACATAAGTAAAAATAGAATGGTTATAAGAGAAAGAGAAGAATTGAGAAAGGAAAGATGGGAAGACGTACCTAGCATTGGTAGGAGGAAGAACTCTACCAAGCTAGGAAGGGAAAGGGGAAGTCAAGACTAAATAGCGGGGCTCACATTTGAATTTTTTGCTTCTGAACCTACTTAAAATTTGTTCTGGTCGCTTTGTTTTATTAAAAAATTGAGAACTTGCTGATCACCCTCTGGACTAAAGATAGTCATTTGGTACCCGCAGCAGGTACCTAGTACCGCTTGGTGGGTACCCCTCACACCCGTCTTGCACCCAGGCAGAGGTGCTGGGTGCGGTACTAGGTACTTGAATTTGGCCAGAAAGCGGTGTGGTACCCAGGTACCGCTCACCCCCCAGAGAGATTCAGGGCCTGGGGGAAGGTAGAATATGACATGTGAATGATATGTACATATCAATATCCCTGATGCATATTTTCCTGGTCCCCTTGAGCTGCCCACAGCACTCAACTGATCACAACAGTTGACAACCATGGCTACCAAGAGTCACACCCGCAAGCAAACCAAGATTCAAGGTGGTACCTGTAGTACATGCCAGAGGTACCTGTGGCACCACCCAGGAGGTTCCGGGTGTGGTACTAGGTACCTGATTTTGCCCCAAATTTGGGGGGGTACCCGGGTACCGCTTGGTACCAGGGTCCAGAATGACTATCTTTACTCTGAACAGAACAACTCAACTGAGCAACACCTACATGTTGCTGAGGTGTTTTAAAGGACCCAAAGAAAAGATCCTGAGGTCCTTGACTTGATCAGTCACATGCTGGTGAAGTGAGTTGCAAAAAATGCTTAAAAAGCTTATTTTATGGGTTTCTGAGGCTCACTTAACTTGCATCTGGAAACATCCAAATGTGAACCCTGCTAATACAAGGCAGAACTGAGTGAATTTGATCCTGTGACATGTTGTGAGCCTTTGGGGAGCAGGATTACAAAGAGTTCTTTGCATATATAAATCCTTTCCCTGTGTTTAATTTGGCACACTTGGAACATATTCTTGCTGATTTGTTCATAAGCCTTTTGCACGTAAGAATCAAAGTAAAAGATCTTTGACTAAGAGTCAAATAGAGTTCAAAAGTAATTTTCCAATCATAAAACCAATGAAATCACACCTTTATGAATAAACTTAATTTTCAAACAAAAGCAAGTTGATAGAGAGTCTAATTAAGATCAGAGCATAAATTTCAAAATGTAGTTATTGGACAGACAGGTCAGATGTGGCTCTGACGCTGTCTAACCAAACAGTTCTTGGACTAGGCCTCTCAAGCATACATTTGACCAATTTTTCTGAGAGATTGTAACTGAAGGAAATGCTTGACTTGTTCAGGTTTCAGAGTGAGCCAGAGCATGTCAAGCAAAATTCTGGAGCCTGGGGCCTAGAGATCGTTCGTCCGTACTTTTTGCAGGTACCTGGTACCTCCTGGGGGGTACCCCTTGCACCCGCCCCGCACCTGCCAGGAGGTGCCAGGTGCGGTACTTGGTACCTATTTTTGTGAAAAATTGAACAGGTACCTAGGTACCTCTACAGGTACCCCCTCACTTCCCTACCAAAAATCAAAATGATGGTGGCCTTCTACTCCAAGAACTCCAAGATCCAAGAAGGTACCTTGGATGCATGGAAACAGGGACTCAAGGATAACAAGAAGTCTAACAAAAAATCAAAAAGGAAGGTGATGGTTTTGGATGACAATGAAGATTCTTCCAATTAGTTATAAGTTTTAGATAGTTTCAACTTTTCAATAAATTATTAAATATGAACAAATGAAAAAAGTGATCGTTTTACAATAAATATGAAAAAAATAGAAAAGTAAGATTCTTCCAATTAGATGTAGATATATTACAACAGATATTAAGAAATGCCAAAAAAGTGAATTGTGAGTGATATTTTACAATAAATATGAAAAAATAATAATAATAATAAAGTGACTTGGGACTCTGGGAGTGAAACTAGGTGAAAAAGAGAGGGGGGTTACCTGAGGTACCTGCAACGGGTACCTTGGGCACCCCCTGGGAGGTGTCTGGTGTGGTACATGGTATCTATTTTCTTGAAAAAATGAACAGGTACCTAGGTATAAACAGGTACCCAGGTCCGAACAAACGATCTCTACTGGGGCCCGAGGAGACTCAGGTGTGCATCTACATGAGCAATCAGGACAGGTATTCCCAACACAAGCTCAGCTGAACTCCATGATCTTCATGGCTCATACCCAATAGATCCTCCCTGGAGGGGGTTGAGTTGGTCCCGCATTTGCCACTCCCCGTTTTTCCAAATGCAAGTGCGCCGGTTTCGTGCAGTGCGCCCCGACCTCAGGGTCGGGCCTGGGCCCATTCAGCGACTTAGTCTTTAGGCCCGGACCATCCTTGCCCCGGCCAAATCGCCGAAGAACGACCAAGTTGTGAGTACCAAGAACCACTCAAATAATTGAAACTACACAAGCTTACAGAACACTCGGTCGAAGAATACACATTCAGGAAAGACCCTGGCGAGGAATACCAGATATAGCAAGGGATAGCAAAGCAATTTCGTTGAGGATTCGTTCATCAAGTCTCGTTCAAAAACTGGAAGGCCATCAACATACAACCTACGCGAGGGAGTAGCAATGTATCGTCTTCTGTCCGGTCTACACGCCCATCTCACTCGGAAGGAAGAGTTTAACGTCATCATCCTTGGACTAGATCATGCTGGAAAAACTGTCAGTGGTTGTAAGAGTTTTCTTGTTTTGGTTTTCTTGTTCTCCTCTCTAAGGTTGTTATAAATCTTAGACATGGTCGATTGTGATCGAACAGGTAACTCAATGTTTAAATTTTCTGTTTTTTTTCCTGCTTATTCGACTTTTTATGTGGCGAAACGAACCACAACAACAAACGGTGGTATCAGACCATGTTAGAGAAAGTGAAGACTATTTTCTCTCCTTCTCAACCAGGACTAAATCCGTCCCAGATCGCGCCGACGGTCGGCCAAAACATAGGTCGAATCACGCTCTCATCCACGTATCTAAAGTTCTGGGACTTGGGGGGTTCGAAGGACATCCGATCGATATGGGAGAAGTATTACGAAGAAGCAGATGCGATATGTTGGGTGTTAGATAGTCAGGACCGATTTCGGAACGGATGGAAATCGGATGGAAATTCTCGGAGCAGCCACGAGGCCAGTGGTGGATCTGGTACCGATGCGAAGGGGAAGGGCAAAGCAAAAGCGATCAACGAGACATCCGCTGGATCAGAACGAGGGGAAGGATGGGCCGAGCTCCAGAAAGTCCTCCAACACCCTTCCATCGCTCATTCCAACATCCCCGTCCTCGTCATCGCTAATAAACAAGACCGTGAACCTCACCAACACGCTGGAAAACCCTCCTCAGCTTACGATCCTCCTCTAGACTCTTCCACCTCTCCGCCCGAAATCGATCTCGAGGATCAAGTTCATCAGCAGCAGGAACCAATGACCGTCCATGAAATTAAGGAAATGTTTAATCGGTTGGTCATGGAATCGGATCGATCCGAAAAAGCGAGATCGTTAGGTCTGAGTGAAGCTCATGTTCTCGGAGTTTCCGCCATAACTGGGTGCGTGTTTCTCTTGGACCAAGAAAAAAAAAAAGAAAATAATTTGCTGTGAATCTTGACACTGATGGGCTGGTTTGGTATTTGAATTACTTATGTTTTGTTCTTTTGTGATGAAAAAGTCAAGGGATCAGAGAAGCCATAAACTGGTTATTTTTCAGAGTAGCAACCAAAGGTCAATCCCGAAGAACTCAACAACTCAAGACTCAAGACTCACTACTCAAACAACAACAACAAGAACAACAGCGATCTAATCCTTATCTTCAACATTCCTCTCACGATCATCATAAACCTATTGTCAATCATAAACGTGAACCTTCTTTGAAAAATAATTTTATCAAATTGGCTGACTTGAGTAAATTTAATATTTCAAATTCTTCTACTTAATCCTTTGCAAGTGGGTGTGTTACATATGTGTTTTGTGTCTACTGTGTTAGTTTGTCTATCATCTTGCTTGTGTTGATGTGGTTTTTTTTGCTTTTATTTTTTTATCGCTTCAAAGAAAAAACCGCTCTTGGTTGCAGTGGCATGGTATTTACAAACTCCAGTCACTCTATTTCTTTTTAAATACTTGATCTATGCTCAGGTTGTTCATAACTGATACAGTTCTATGCCAAAGAATCACAGTACTTAAATGAACCAATGAAGCTTGCGTGGGATATGTCTGATGTATCTAGCAGGGCTGATTCACTCTTGAACACAACAGAAAACCACAGGATTGTTTTAGAGGCTTGGTTAATCGACTCCCCAAAATTGGAGAGTCGACTCCCAAACCCCGAAACCCCCGAAATTAGGGAGTCGATCCCACAAAACCTTTGACCAGTTTGGGAGTTGACTCCCTAAAAATTTAAATAAAAATAAATAAAAACCCCCGGTTGGATTGGAAGTCAATCCTCCCAAACCAACAAGGGTTTGGGGGTTGATGAACCAAACCAACCCCAACCCCACGGCAGCGGTTGGGAGGAATTGCCGCTGAGAGCACATGCTCGATGGCCAAGAGGGGAAACCCTCTTGGCCGTTGAGCGCTTTTACACTCTCAACGACGAGAGGGTTTCCCCTCGCCATCGAGAGTATACACTCTCAATGGCTGAGAGGAGAAACCCTCTCGGCCGTTGAGGGTATGAACACTCTTGACGCCGAGAGGGTTTCTACTCTTGGCGGTCAAGGTGTACACTCTGAACGGCTGAGAGGAGAAACCCTCCCGGGCATTGATCAGAGTGTATACTCTCAACGGCAAGGGGAAACCCTCTTGGTGTCAAGAGTGTACATATCCTCAACAGCCAAGAGGGTTTCCCATCTTGGCCATCAAGAATGTGCTCTCAGCAGCAATTCCTCCCGGCCGCTGCCGTGGGGTGGGGGTTGGTTTGGTTCATCAACCCCCAAACCCTGGTTGTTTTGGGAGGATTGACTCCCAAACCAACCGGGGGTTTTATTTATTTTTATTTATATTTTTAGGGAGTCGACTCCCAAACTGGTCGACGGTTTTGGGGGATCAACTCCCTAATTTCGGGGGTTTCGGGGTTTGGGAATTGACTCTCCAATTTTGGGGAGTCAATTAACCAAGCCTCTTGTTTTATTTGGTATTTTGAAATAGTAAGTAGGATAATTGTACAATGTATTAATAGTTGCTGCAGAAGTTGGTTTTTCTTCCTAGGAAGAATGTCATTTTTGGCTCAAAAATTCAGATGCTACACCACAGGGCACAGGTGCAAATGGAGATTTCAGATCCAGGCCTGGGATGGCCTTGAGACAATGCCATCCCAGAGGCCACCCCAAATCCCAAAATGCCATCAAAAGAGCCCTGTTGTGAGGCAACGCTGTCACAGATACGGTATCTGCCATGTATCTGCCATGTATCACTATGTATCTGAGCCCCAATAAAAAAACCTATCTGACCAATCTGCTTTTATTTGCAAGGAGATTCAACAAATTTGGTTTTTGGCCATGCAGCTTTGCAGAATTCTCCATGATACATACAGTGTATTGTATCTGTGACAGCGTTGTGTGAGGCTGTTGCGATGGTGGATCTCTTTTTTAAATGGATTTGTACACACCTGGGATTTCTTTTTGTGTGATGCCCCCAGCAACGGTGAAACAGATCCGATCCGATACGGTATCGGCCGATTTATCGGATTGGATCGATTTTTCGATACCAGGTATCGAAAAATAAGGAATCGGATCGCTAAGGGTGATCCGATCCCATGGTATCGGATCGGGGGCACCCAAATGCTGCGGGATGTATGCCTTACACTTGGGTAAAACTGTAAGCAATCCGATCCCTGGATCGGTATTTATCGGGGATCGGATCAAAAATGGACCCAATACCAGGTATGGGTATTGGATCTCTCCACCCGATCCCAGTTGTCCAATACATTGGGATTTGATTTTGGTGATCCGATGCAACTACCAATACCCGGTATCGGGTCCATTTTCGATCCGATCCCCGATAAAATACCGATCCGGGGATCGGATCTGTTACATCCTTGCCCCCAGGGTACCCAAGTGCACCTGATGTGTATAATAACCTTGGATCCAGTGGAGATATTGGCACTTTATTTTGACCAAAATTTTGTCCTGCATCTTGCCTACAACATAACCACTTCTGATGTGATATGTCCATTCCCATCACCTTCTAATTAGGGGGAAAGGGGGGAAAGAAGATGACTTCCTTGACAAGCTGCTAGGATCTCATAACTAATTACATGGAGGCAAATTTTCCAGAAGTCATTTTAACTTCATTTTTACCAGGATGGGGGATAGAGACACATCTAAAATATGTACAATGGAGCCCTGAATCTTAGCTACACATTCATGGTTTCATTCAAATTTTGGGTGAGTTGTTGGCAAGGAAATGGATATGTTAGTTGCCACAAAAAATAAAGTTTCTGCAGTGAGTCACTTTGGTGGAGGGACTTGGTTAACTTGGGGGGGAGGGTTTCTATACTTCTTAGTTTAGGGTAAAATTAAGTTACATTGCAAGTTTTACTGGGATATATTTCACTTGTACTGCATTCCCAACAGCTAAACCTCAAATCTTTGATCAACCATCAACACTTTCAAATAGCCACCTCAAAAAAATTGTGAGTGTTCCTGAATAACTTGGGAGGAGACAAACAAGTATCTATGCAATATTACTTGGTTGGTAACTCCAGCAAAAACAAATAACACTTTCTTCATTTTATTTTTTTTGTATTGATTCTTTCTCCCTCCATCCACGTCCCCCCTGAGCCCTCTCCTCTTCCACATTTTTCATCAGCTTTTCACCAGGTAAGATATTATAAGCTTCCTGCAAGGAATATTTTCATTTCAATCTGACAAATGTGAAGTATCTCTGATATTGAACCACACACATTTAAGTAATTTTCAAGCATCATCAATGATCAAGGTTCTTAATTCATTCATGAAGAAGCACACATCAGAAGTGGTTAAAAGCTATAAAACAAAAAAAATGGAAATCCAATGGTTTTCATCTGAAAAATACGCTTCCAAAAGTTTCCTATCACCTCAATTTATGTAAGGTGTAAAATTATTATTTGTAACACCAGGAAAAATCAATACTCCTTAGATGATGGGTGACATCAATTAGGTTGTTTAACCACTCTGATGTAGCTCCAGTTCAACTCAAACCAAAATACAATGACACCTTTTTCTGCTAAATGGTGGGGAAACAATGTTGAGCTGAGCACATAATGGCAATGATGGAATTTTCCTGATGGGCACAGTTTCTTACTGGTTTAGTGATGATCATTCTTTCAGGTTTCTCCTTGTAAGAAAAAATGTTTCAAATCTTGATATTGAAGCTCACAGTTTATGTTCATGTTCAAAAAGAGCTTGTATTGATGCATGTATTCAGGTAGAGATGGCACTTGGAAACTGTTGGGGGATACCTTTCAAACTTTTCGAACACTCCCTTCACACTACCAGCGAGCTAGTGTTAGCACACCATTAGCTGGTTATTGCTATGCTACTCTGCACTATCAGTTTCTACAGGTCCAAAAAAACACTAACCAGCGCATTAACACAGCATAGTGGGCCCTTTTTTGGGGTCTATATTCGTAGTGCTAGTGCAGACATGTCAGAATTCTGCTATGCTACACTATTTTCCAGTGGAAATCTGCTAGGCTAAGCTGCACTAATTCTATGGTTAGTGTAAACAGCCCATTTCTGGTACTGGACCCTCCACGTGAACTACCAGTGGCTTGTTCTGAAACTGTGGCAGGTACCCCCCAACAGGTGTCAAGTGCCATCTCTATATTCAGGCAAGTATATACATACACTACAAGAAAAATTTCAGAAACTATTACCAGTTGAAATGCAGCAAGCTTCAATCAAACAAAAATTAAACCTGAGTTTAGTGTGTTGACATAATTTGGTAGTACCACCCTAAGGCTTTGAAGGGGTGCACCAGAAGATTACAGAATGTAATTTTTTGTTTCACCAAAGTTCAGTGCAGAGTTTTTTGTGAGCTTTTGGCTGTAAACTGCCACCAGTTGCTTATCTTATATTTTTTTAGCTTCCAAAATACTTGATTTTAAACTTGTGTGAGTCAATCTTATGGCTGGGAAAATTCTGATTTCTTTTTTTTGAAGGATATTTTAGGAGTCTTGAAACGCATGAAAACAATGTTTGAATTGAGACATGTTTGAAGTTGATTTATCAGAACCATGGACTCATGTTGTGTTTGAATCTCTGTAATACTTCAGAAATCCCTGCTGATGATGAAGTTATAAGATGGTGGTTTGATGGAGGAGATAAATAGAATTCCTCTGCCTATATATATCCAAAATAATTAACACAAGGTTATCTCACTAAACAGAAGCTCACGGATAACCAGATAGGCTAGTTTTCTATACCAATCAGTGTTGTTAATTTTTATCAGGTTGAGTATTCTCAGTCAATGTTTTCAGCTATGAAGATTCCTTTTATGAGTCTAGTTGAGTTCAAGTGGTTCTTTATATCACACTAATTCCTGGGGGAAAAATGAACAAACTACTCATAGGCTCCTCCTTTGGATGTTTTTCTCAGTTTTATAGTGTCCTGATTCCTATGACAGTACTCATTCCATTGAATGTACCAGTAAATTCTTCAGAAGGTAGCCATTATAGGACAATTAATCTTTGTAAGTCCTCTTTTTGCAGTTATATTCATCCAATCTTTCCTCTTATAGCCACTACATTCAATATCAGATCAATTACGGGTGGATTACAATCATGCTAGGATCAACAATGATGCTTCAGTTGGACAAAACTTGGAACAAACACACCACCAAGTTCCTCGATATACTTTAATTAGTCAGCCCATCCCTGGACAAAGACAAGAACCAGATCACCCTTCACAAGTGACACAGATCTATGACATATTAAGTCAAATTATTGGGAGACCAATAATACTATTTGAACAAGAGGAAGGACTGCATCCTTTTCAAGAAACAGACCAAATTGAAAACGCTATTCTACTTGGATATATGCCCAAGCATGAATACATGTCTCCTTCCAAAGAACATGATTTAAACACACTGGATGTCACCACAGTTGATCAGTCTGGAGTAAGTGTGATTGGCACATCTCAGATTGGTGTTAGAGCTTCTCCAGGCAAGCTTGAAGCTGATGGTTGTAGTCACAAGTATCAGGAAGAACAATGGCAGCCCAAAAGACATCAGATAGTCCCATTTCATCAAGTTCTAAGCATGCTAGATTCCACCGAATCTGTTCAGCCTATTGTACGAGGAGAACCTACTGTTTTGAATAAGATCAAGGGATTTTTAGCCAAGGCTGGAAAAACAAGTAAAATGTTGAAGGTCAAGGGGAAGAAAATTGAAGGTTCCGGTCACAAGAATCACATCATGAATAGCAAAAATACCAAGAATAATGAAAGTTCCAATTCTGATCCATTATTTAAAATATCACATGTGCTGTTGGGGTCTGCAGAAGATAATACTTGTGCAGCCTGCCTGGAGGAATTCCAGGGTCCTCAAAAAGATGCCAAGAATATGTTTTCCGTTTTCTCCTTTGAAAAGGTTCTTATGATTAAGGGATGTGAACATTACTTCCATCATCATTGCCTCCAAAAGTGGATACTTGGTGGTCAGAAAAATTCCTGTCCAGTGTGCCGGCAACCAGTTAAGGACATCCCTTCAGATCTGGGACCCTCACAGACATCAATATAGACCCAAAAAGTCTTAATTCTTGCTGGGGAATTTAGCTTCCAAGACTCTAAATTGCTTCTTGGAGACCAGAAGATCTTGAGGAGAATTTGTCCAGTATTCCCTTAAAAATAATTATCAAGACTCAAAATGACTGAAGGCTGAAGGTCCTATCTCATTCAAGTTTTCTGTTTTATTTTCATTTTTTTTATTCTTGGATTAGAGTTCTTGGGTTAAAATCATTTTTTGTCTTGCATTCTAAAATCATAGAAATCTTGGCACATATTTTTTCATACCATCTCATTTTCAGGTTCACTTTTTTGAATTTTTTTTAGTTTATTTCTTTCTTGATCACTTGAAGAATTTTCATATTTTCCCCTTCTTTGTCATTATTCTCAAGCATCTTTTCAATTTCTTATGAAGCATTACTTTTGACTTGATTCACCTACTCTCATAGTGTCTGCAGATTCATCTCCGTGTCGGCCAGCATTAGTGTAATACAGCTAACAGATAAGGCCTCGTTTGGCCGTCCATGATCATAATAGGCCGTTGTCTCAAATTGTTAAATCAGAATCTAGGTTTGATGATTCCAGGCTGTGAAAATGACGCAGCCTGAGAATCCTTGTCAGCCTTGCTGTGAGGACTTATGATGCAAAAGTTTGGGGGAACCCAAAATGTTGGAATTGGCAGGGAATATATCTCGCTGACCACTTCCGTAATGAAGAAAGTGGATATGACGTGGCCTCCCAAACACCATTGTGAGGGCCTGTCTTCAGCTGTGCACCCCAAATATATTTGCCATGATAATTTATGATGATCATGCACGGCCAAACAAGGCCTAATAGAAAGTATCCATAGTGTTAGTGGTATTCCACTGCCCTTTACTTTACTATTACCAATGATAATGCAGCTGACCTACTGTTGTGAATACCCCTAGCAAGTACCATTCTACCCCACTTGAGTCTCAAATTTAACCAAAATCAGTTGTGACACTTACAGGGTACTAGGGGGTTTCAAAGTTGATTTATGAACACCATTATATACAAAATCTTTAGGTTCACAGAACTTTTGAGAAATTTTATAAATAAAGAGCAATTTGGAGCTTTAGAAACCTGAGGGCCTGTACCATAGCACCCCAGCCAATCCATATTTTTGTTTTCATCTTTGATCTTTTTGTTTTTCACCAACAAAAATCCATTTTGGGGTTGGCACTGAAAATCTGGCTTCTGTACTGTGGGTAATTGAGTACATGGTATCAATCTCCAACTTGAAAATTGGAAAATTGACCTCAAAATTGGGGTTTGATACAGGCCCTGAATTCTCAAGCACGTTGAGCTTATGATTTCATGTAGAATGCAGTTTAAAAAATCAACTTTGAAACCCACCACTATATGCCATATTGGACTTCAATTTTCCCTGTCTACAAAAAGCACACAAGTGGTGTGCAGTTGCAAAATGGTGGAAAAATGATTTTCCAAACACACAAGTAGCCCTGGGACAGTGGCAAAATACTTCAACAAGGTCCCACCGAACACTACAAACAATACTGATTTTGCCCCAAGGAAAAATGGCAATTTGGATGGTGGAAAATAGATCAATTTTCTGGCACTTTTTTTACAAGATGCCTCACGAGTAAAAAATTAGGCTAAAATGAGCTATTTTAGCCAAAAAATAAAAATGTCTCAAATGAGCTAAAAATTCATTTTGGAATGTTTGATGAATTTCTATCTCTGGGCTAAAATAGCTCAGTTTAGCCTAATTTCTACTCCTGAGGCATTTTAGAAAAAATTTCCAGAAAATTGATCCATTTTCCCCCACCCAAATTGCCATTTATTTTTGGGGCAAAATGGGTATTGCTTGTAGTGAAAACATGTCAGTCTCAAAACTCCCAGTCTTCAGGCCAAACTTTAGATCTGTAAATACCTTTTTTTCAGGGGGGTTTGCACCACCCTTTAATACCAGGCCCTCCAAGGCAAGGGACTTTTGTTAAGTTACCTGAAGCTAGGACCCAAATGTGAATAGCCCCACAAACTTCACCAAAAAAAACCCTCTTCACCTGAAACAAACCGGCTGTGATCCATCACTGCCCATTTCAGCATCTTACCAGTATGTATACGTACCGGTATCCTCGGCATGGATGTATACCGGTAATCTTGGCACCCCTGTATACCGTCACTCTCGGCGCGCCTGTGTACTTCCCTGGCGACTACAGAATCTCGTTCCGTCTGTTACGCGGTACAGCCATGCCAATAATTTTCGGACAATTGGGGATAGTATATAGTGTGCCGATGAGCTCGGCACGCCGGTACCCGCCGCCTCGGTAAGACTGCCAAAGATATATCCTCTTCGTCATACACGGTATACATACAAGGTCTATTGCAATTCTGGAACGCAAGGCCTTTATTGTGAGCTCTCCCTCAACTCTGTTTGCATTAACCCGGCAAAGTGTTTAGACCGCCTGGTTGCCGTAACATCCATGCGGATCCATGAGCTTACATAAATAAATGTATCAACCCGAACCGTCGTCGCATCTCACCAACCTTAAACTTCGGATGTCCATTTCAGTGCCCAAGATTAAGTGATGACGACAAGATGATCGCTGTATCCCCGTTGTATGACAATGCCCCGCCCACTGAGGCCCAATGAGGTTGGCCGAATGATGGGTTGAATCTTTTGCCACTCCCGACTTTTCATTAATGACGGTTGGCTGTGCAAGATGATTTTGATAGAGATTTAGATCCGCCCGAGTCGTCAGGTCTGGCCAATGAGACAGCGGGATAGGGATTAAACCTTCAGGCTGCGAGTAGGGAGTCTGGGCCTGCGGCCATCGCCTACTTTTCATGCTCGGTGCGGTCGGCTATAGCGCGACGCGCAAGGCACACTAAAATTTGAGTTTTTAGAGCCTCGGCAGATTCTGGATCAAAACCCAACACCCAGTTGAGCCAGTTCCAAGATCTTTTCATTTTCCAGCCGCCGTGATGAAAACGAAGCCACTTCATGTTCACTTTGCTAACACCGCCTCTCGTCAGCGAGCACATGTGTCCAGCGTCTAACCGCGCCATAAGCTCAGCCTTTGACGAACGAGGCTTTGTGCTCTCGAGAACGACCCATCACTCAGCTGAGCAGCTCAAAGTTGCGCCTTCCCGCCGCCAGGATATTTTGCCCTTTGTTCAAAGTCAACGTTCATTTGTGATCTCACTGGACTCGGTCCACCTTGGTCCAATTCGGATTTGATAATTACGTACATTATAGAAGCTGTTCCTTGGATTGATGTGATCGCACGAGATACATACATGCAGAACTGAATGCGACCTATCCTTTACAACTTGACCGACATGAGAGGTGAATCAACAGCTAGCGCAGGCTAGCACTTTTGGCTGCCATGAACTCAGAGGAATACAAGCTTTGGACTTGGTGCGAGAACACATGTAACCGGCTCTTCCAGGCCGGCCCTTCGAGGCTTATAGCACTCTTGTAAAGAATTTGAGAATCCCAGAGGCTGTTCTGGTCTTCTTTTTGTCGTGAGACTGACTCATAAGACAAGTTTGTATGTATACTTGACAAGTTGACCCTTCTTGCACCATGCCTGAGAATGCGTCATACATAGCATGTCAGGCATCCTGATCTACAGAAAAGCATTTGCAAATTGTTCATAAGCTCCGTTGGACATGTATGCGACAGTTACACGTCGTGCAGTTAGCTGAGAGATTGATGGTCTGCAGTTGTCACCGCGCTTTACAACCACTGCTAATGGTCCCGACTCGCGAGTCCCGGCGGCTTGTTTGCCTGTGCCATGATTCCCATCCTGCGACACATGATCTGCCAGTCCGTGTCCCATCCTGTCTCATCACTCCATCACGCGTCGTGGAAGGTAGACTAAAGAAATCGCGTCGTTATTGCTTCAAGTCTCCCCATCAACCGGAAAATCCTTCAAGCCACTTCTAAACCTAACTTTCGCGCAGAGCTTACCAAGGGCAACCTCCAGAAACTCATTGCTTCCGCAGATTTTCCAAGACTCCTAAAGTAAAGCCGCATTAAATAAACAGTCCGTCGTTGGTCGCAATTAGTTCTACACGCGCGCAAGTGTAACACTATCTGATCAAGCTATCACTCAGTCACCCGGGGGATTCTCATAAAGCAGGCGAGGATTTTATCGACGCCGGCGGCATCTCTGCAGTCCCGCGTCCACTCCCGTCTTCGCGATTCGCAGTCTGGGGCTCCTTATTGGTCCTCACATTTAGCCTTCTTGCTTGTTATTCTTGTTTCTTGCCACCTAGCCCACTATCATTTTCATCAATCAACAACCAACCCGGAAGAAAATACGGCATTCATCTTTTTTTTAAACTCCAGGACACACGAGCGCAGCTGTTATTGTGCATCTTTCTATTCCAAGGTGAGGATTCCTTTTTGACTCATTTCTTCTTCCAACCTCTTCTTCACGAACATATCTCAGCAGTAATAAAACCACACCTTAAAGCTTGAAAGCAGAATTGCTTGTCCCTGTATCATTTGGTATTCAAGCAAATTGCGCGTCAAGACGTTTGCCCAGTTACTTCCTGGCGCCAGCAAGTCAGGCTCATTCTGCCCTATCATTATCAATTGTAGTGGGGCATTCAAGCAAACCATACTTGTTACAGACAATTGTTACTCATCCCCAGCGATTAAAATGTTTAGAGAACATCCACTTTCATTCTGGGCAGTGCAGGTGTTTTTCTCAGGAAGCTTGGTTCTGCGTCACCCAGTCAACTCGACTGCTATTCGATGGCTGTTGAAACAGTTGCATCAACATCGATGTCGGTGGTGCTGGCGGTATGACGATTAAACTTTTATTTACGTGAAGCTATGCTAAGTAAATACATAAATATGTAGCATTTCTTTATGACGCTCGCCAAGGCTACCGAGATCCCTAACAGAGGACATCGCAACTTACAGAAAGCGACGACACTGGCTCACATAGTCCACTTGCTCCCTTCGATGAAATCCATCAAGGAGGTTAGATTTATGCCAATGTTGCGACAAGTTGAAGAAGGCCTGCCAGGACCTGCCTGACAGCCGGGGAAGCAGAATGTTATTCCCGGCCGAAAAGGTCGCTCCGCGAAGCGCACATTCCCACAAGTAGAAAGCTAAATTTATGGCTCTCTACAGTCAAACCTTTCTCCCTCTTTCTGCATCATCTGCTCTCGCGAGGTCGCAATTTTCTTTTTGCTCGATAGACCATCTTGCGTGCTTGAGTCTTGGCATTAACCAAACCTCTCCCGATCTTCGACATTATCTTTCCACTTGACATCCTGTTGAACCAGCTCATAAAACATTTCCTCGCCTCGTGTGGAGGTTGATTTCCCCACAATACTACGCTAGTGCGCCCTTCTCACCATCAGTCCCATCTCCGACTCGATTCCCCCGTTTTGAGTTCAGCTGTCGGTACATATCTTCTGATTGTTCCTCCGTTGACAGGAGTATTTGCGCAGTTGTTTTGAGTCAGTGCTTAGTTTTGGACCGGTGTCATTATCATACTTTTCTTTGTCTTTGCCTTCAATTGTTTCAATTTTACTGCGAGGGAAGAGACCCCACTAGCCAATGTATGCTGACATAGTGTGCAATCTCTCCTGAACAGCCCAAGTACTTCCTCCTCGAATAAGCTTCTGAGTCGTCTGCATGGCTGCGGCTCCAACTTCCAGCTTCCTTACTTCCATGTCTGCCCAACCACCTCGTACTGTCCAAGCCTTGGTCAATGAGGAGGTCAGGGCACCTCCGCCTGTGCGATTATACCCATCACAACATAGAGTCAGCATGACTCGGTACGCCACTTCTACCGACCCACGGGGCTACATTCCCGTTTTCGAATATCCTTTAAAGTAATTTGTCTTTGTCTATCTTTGATGGGACAAATTTCATGTTAAGCTGAAATCTTTCTGTTGACAGCGGCCAGTACATTATGATTGACTGTGAGACAGGTATGTTTGACCGACCGCCCTTGATCGATTTATGGACAAAAGCTGATGAGAGATGATCTCAGGCATGGTGCACTTCACGGGGATATGGAAAGCACTCGGACACACCAAGGCGGATGTGGTCAAGTTGGTAGAGTCCGACCCTACCATTGCACCCTATCTACGCAAGGTCAGAGGGGGGTATCTGAAAATCCAAGGAACATGGTACGCATTGTTTGGCCTCTCAAAATACCTGACACAAACGCTTATATTTTGCTTCCTCGTTGCCACAGGCTTCCGTTCGACACCGCTCAAACCTTGGCGCGAAGAGTAGCCTGGCAAGTTCGCTACGATTTGGTCCCGCTCTTCGGCCCCGATTTTCCTGATGTGCGTTTTTCAGATCTCGTTCTGACGATCCGCTCATACGCCTTGAACTGATTCGCCATTTTTCAATAGACTTGTCTTGGACCCGGAGAGCCTGGATTCGGTCAACTGCTGCTATCAGCCCCGAAGCCCAGAGGGCGCCGGGGTGCCAAGAAGGCGGCAGCTGCCCCTACAGTCGCCCACGAGAGAACCGCATCTCCTCAAGATAATCGCAGTCAGAGTCGGCCAGGCCCGTACCCTTCCCAAGAATCTTTCGGCAATCGCTGTTCCGGTCGAGTTGAAGCCGTCGGTGCGATGAATGGTTACAGCCCAATGTTATCCCAAGCGAGGTATTCGCCGTACACTCGAGCGCCAGTTCATCGAATCACCCAGTTGGAGCCTTTGCCTAGTTTGATCCAACCGAACCAAAGCTGCCCGCATCCAACTGCCGATTCTATGTACTCAAGTCACTATCACCAAAGTCCAAGACAATCAATGATGACCTCTCATGGTGCTGGACCTTATGGCCAACAGCATCTCACCGGCTCAACAGCATCGGGTATGCAAAGCACAGCCCCGCTCCCATCAATGCGTCCCCATCAAGCACATCAATCTGAGAACAATTTCTTCGAGACTTATCGGGGACCCGACTCTTTTGAAGCCTTGAGCAATAAATGGCTAGCCCCCGAAGTTGCCAATCCAAGTCTGAATGATAGCGGTCTACTCCATGGAGAAGGTGGGTGTCTGCCGCCCTTGCAGTACTCCAACAACCCCGTGCTTCGGAACGGACCATCTGGGTCTCCCACGAATCAATACAATTTTCCAAATCAGATTGATTCTGCACATTCCAGTCACCACATAGATTCCAATCAGACTCAGCATGTTCATCGTCACGCAGGTTTTCCCTACGAGTCACAACATCAATCAAACTTCCGACATGATCTTTCGACTGAGGAAGCAGCTCACCACCCTGCCTCCCCTTCGCAACAACCACCTCCCAGTGTCACCTATGATAAAGCCCACAACTCAGAACCGCAGGCTGGTTCCCAAGCCGCAAATGTGACGGCAGGATGCTATGCAGCATCAGGATCAAACTCGACCGGGAATCCCGCTGGCTCGCCGGGATCGCACTCTTCACACGTTCCTAAAAGTCCCACGCCCAGCTCGGCTTCTACTTCAACCCACATGCAGAACTCTCACAATCCCAACTCCCACCGCTCACCCTCAAACACCCTGACCAACATGAGTAACAATGGCGGCTTTAATAGCAACACGCAGGGCGAGGAGGCTATACAGTTTTCGGTCTTGACCTCGCCGGCTCATTTGGAGACTAGTGGACCGTCGGAGAACTCGATCCCCCCAGCTCAATCCTCAGATTCGGATTGGAATCCCGCTCAAAATACTACCGGTCTATCCCCAAGTCAGGCACCGAGGCAATAATCTCATTGTCGGATGAAGCTGAGCATCTTACAGTACTCAACTTGGTCGCGATGAGAAAAATTCCCCTCGATGTCTGCGACATTCCCATCGTCCAATGTCGTCCTCTGCGGATGTGATCTTGGTTTATTGTGGTATGGTATTGTGAATTGCTTGCACGCTTGTTGTTTCAACCTATGTCTCAGTGATTGTGTTTCCTTGTTCTCTTGCAATTATCGTTTTTTTTTCTCTTCTTTTCTTTGACTCAGACTGTAAAACCAAGACGCTTTTTTTATATCTTTCTTGCAGTCTTTCTTGCAGTATCTCAGTACAACGTTTGTCCCGTGTGAGGGACAAATCTTCGGATCTTCTTTGGCATTTTCTTGTACCTAGGCTTGTATTGATCTTTCTTGCATTCTAATTGAATGATTAATATCCAAATAAAACAGTGAGAGTTACTGTGATCACCTTGGGAAAATCAAGGAACTGTTGTAATGACCATTCAACCTGTTTACTGAAGTTCAAAAGAAGGTCAACCCAAATCATTGGAACAAAGCAGTTGACAAAGATTGAACAAGGATGAAATGTAAAGGCAACCTTCCTCACCACAGTCACTGGAGGATTTACTTTGTGTGGCCTGGATTGCTTGATTTTGAAGGGTTCTGGAAGCCTTATTTGCAGATGAAAACTTCTGATTTTCACCAGCAAATAATGTTTAGGAGTTGCATCAATATTACCAGATTCAAAGGTTGGAATTCTGTGACTCCTTCCCAAATGAGGTTTCACAATTTTGTTTCTTCTTTATTTTTCAATTGAACAATCATTAAAATTTCTTGAGCCATGACCACAATATTTAACTTGAGCTAGGTACAACAAACTTACATTATTTGTTCTGATCCTCTGTTCCTTGTAAGGGCCTTTTCTCCCCTTTGTTGTCTTGTCCAAGACTGAGGCAATTTTTCCCTCAGCAAGACGAGTTTGACTATATGTCTGATCCACCACTTTAGTCTAGCCTCTTCATTAATGGTTATTACAGATTTTTGTGGTCTTCCCCTTTCTCATTGGCTATGATTTCTTCATCAAGCAACCGGAAATCCTCTGCTAATCCCGATTCCTGATTTTTCTTTATGGCTTGATGTGAATGAATTATGATCTGTTTGATCAGGGAGCCAGGCCATGGGTGGGCCTGCTACACTGAATTGCGCATCAGCAAAGCGTAGTGCATCAAAATACTGCCAACACAGCAGATATTTCCTGTTAGCTGTTAGCCGTGCAACCACACTATTGCTGACTGCTAAGGGGTCAATTATGTGGCTGCTAGTCTACACAGCATTATACAACCCTTGTTATAGGTTCTTTCCATCAAAAGTGGTGTAATCCAGGGCACATTTCAGAAAAAAAAAGTCACACAACTGTTTGAAGTTGACATGCAATATTCCAAAGCTGCGGTTGTAAAAAGCTTGTCAACTGCACACAGTTGCACAACTTTTCCTTGCGGTGATAGTGGTAGTTGTAGTACCACTAAGACTATGGCATCACACAGTGTTTTTTCTAGGTCCCTGAGCTCCCACTAGGGGGTTATTGAGTGTAGTTTAGCATGATGGCCCACTGTTGAACCTGCTGTGCAGGAAGGGTTTTTTTTTGCACACGTAAGGGTGATTCTAGCGAACTTTCCAGTCTTCCTCCTGTGGATTATTGAGCTTTGTTTTCTGTTTATGTATTTCATTCTCTTTGTTTAAGCATATCATATGTGTCAGTATACACACTAAAAACCTCATCACATGGCTGTTATCTGAAACTTAATTGATTGTTAGTTTGGTTGTTAGTTCTCAGAGTTTTCTTGCATGTATTGGTTTCTTCTGTTTCTCTAATCAATCAAATCGTTTCTTATCACTCAACAGTCAACTTCACCAACTCTAAGAATTTGGTTCAGGCTGATTTCTTTTTGTTTCCATCTCAATCTGACCTTATCTCAAACCTATTCTTTCTTTGTTGATGTTTTTGTTCTCTTTGTCAGTAGTACCAGCTCAGACCAAAGTGTTCTGATAAGCAGCTACATCATCAAAGGATTTTGTTCTTGATGCATATGCTCAAGTTATCCTGGGAGTCAATTCATCTTGAAGGTGGAGGAGATTTGATCCATCTCTTTTTGACCACTCCAACAGATGAGTTTGATTCAATCTACTGAGAATCCCTATCATTAGGAGCACATGAAAGAAGAGGCCTGTCCATCTAAGAAAGCTACATAGTGTGATCTCTGACCTGGTACACTCTCAATCCACACTGCTTTGCCAAGCATTTCTACCGTCAGACTGTGAGGATTCAATCAAGACCACACCAAATTGACACATTTATGTAGTGTCATCTTCATAATCACAATCATGACAAATACTGGAGGAATTCCCGTCAGATCTGGGACCCTCACAGTTTTCAATTTAGACCCAAAAAGTCTAGATTTTTGCAGGGAAATCTAGCTTTTTCGGCTCTAAATCAAAACTGGGAGACCCGCAGATGTTGACGGGAAGTCGTCCACTTCTCTTTTTCTTTTTTCATCTAATACTTCTCTTGAAATCAAACCAAATCAAAAATTCAAAATCATCAGTCAAAGCATTTAATGGATGATTGGATTGATTTTATCTTACCCCCCCCCCTCTCCCTGCCAAAAAAAAAAAATTGTGGAGGAATTGATTTGAATCAAATCTATTCTGTACTTCTTCCAGTCGTTGAAATGGGCAATGATAATTGCACTCCCCTCCCCTCCCCACCCGCCCACGCCCACGCCCCTCCAAAAGGGGTGTGCAATCACACCCGCCCGTCTCTGAGGGGCGGGTTTGATCGCACGCCCCTCGGAATTCTGATTTCCCAAGGAAACAGGCTTCCAAGGCGGGCAGAAGAACCCGCCCCTCAGAGACGGGTGGGAGGACTTGCCCGCCAATCAAGAACCGAGATATTCTCGGTTCTTGACTGGTGGGCAAGTCCTCCCGCAATTATGTCAGCAAAACATCCTAGGATGTTTTGCTGACATAATTGGCTTACCTTCATGAACAATTAATAATCATTCAATGAAGCCATGAAAGAACTGAATCAGATATGGTACAAGTTGATCGAGACCAGGGTCACCACTCAAGCTGGCTAGGGCCGCATTTCTTTAGCTCTGGTCATTTGATAGCGCGGCAGCAGTAACGCGATCGAAATATAGTCGAAGTTCACGCAATAAATGCTCTTTGGTAGTCAGATTTTTGGTTTCTGGTCGAACTTGTCGCAAGTCTCAGGCTGCGGGGGGCGCATCTGGCAGCGTAGCGCTGGCCAGGCGGTTCCCGAAGGGAACTCCCCGCAGGGGAGACTTGGGACAAAAGTCGCCTGACTTGCTTGCTGAGTTTGAGGCGTTTTGGTGGGAGTGTCATAAGATTTGGAATCACGACGCTCCCTCAAAACTTTCTTGATGTTTGGTCTGGAATTTTTAAAGACCTGCCTGATCTTGTTGATCAGGCCAAAACTTAGAAGTTGCACCTCAAAACTGTAATTAATAATAAATTTCTAAAATTATGATTTGAACTTTTTTTGAGCTCAAATGCGGGCTTTGCTCAACTTGGGCCCACCACAAGAAGCCAAGTTGAGTGGAAAATTCAACCTTTTCAAAAACTTTGTATAAATGATTAACAAGCATAACCAAAAAACTGAACACAGGGAAATATGGGCAAGACACAGGCCTCCCCTGTCCCAGGAGGAAATTAGATTAATTTGATTAAGGGAGTGCTTAGAGTGGAAAACACACAAAAAAGTGAGTTTTCAGTCGAATTCTGAAAACTCACCACGCAAACCTTGCGACATTGGGCATAGGCCTCCACTGGCGTGGACAGCTCCGCTGCTTGCTACCGCTCCCGCCGTGGAGGACTATGTTAAGCTCGGTTTCTGGTGCCTGTTTTGAGCTCGATGGGATAGCCAAGGACTGAAGACCAGAGAAAGCAGGATGTGATTTGAGCTCTGCGATACGGACGAAAAGAGAGTCGCTCAGCTCAAAGCTCAACCGAATATTCATGAATATAATTGTGACCAAGAGGTATAAAGAATGCAGAAGAGGGTTTAGAAGAGAGAAGAGTACCTGCTGGGGTGGGTTTTTGTGGTATTGCCGGTTGAACACCTTTGACTGCCAGCCAATGGGCTATAAACAGCGGTGGGCCGCTACGCTACACTACGCTACGGGCCCATGTAGCATTAGCGTAGCGGCGCCAATTTTTTTTTTTTGTGTAGTGTTAGCGCGCCGCTACGCTACGCTAACTTGTAGCGGCGCTAACACTAGCCATTTTTTGGTGTAGTGTTAGCGCCTCGCTGGCGCCGCTACGCTGCGTTACGCTACGCTACAGCGTTTTTAGCGGCAAAAAACACCAAAAAACCGCTAAAAACTGCTGTAGCGCAGCGTAGCAGGCGGTTTTTTGCGCCCTGTGCGCGTAGCGTTAGCGCAGATGGGGAGAATTGCGCTAACGCTACGCTAAACGTTAGCGCATTTTTTTGCCCCGTGCGCGTAGCGTTAGCGCTGAAAATGAAAAAAGCGCTAACGCTACGCTACATTGTAGTGATTTTTTGCTACACTACGCTACGCTAACGCTACAGTTAGCGTAGCTGGCCCACCGTTGCTATAAAGAGTGAAATTCAGAGTCAATCATTGATTCCCTCACCAAACAGCGTGGAAATTGCTTGGGGACATGAGTACCTGTGTAACTAGCTTCTTGTGGTATAGGAGGTAGTTCTGCGGTCAAAACCTTGGTCAAGTCGATCTCTTCCTCATCGATAAAATACAGGTTTCCAACAGCCAATGTTGTTCTTCGAAATGATAGCGTTTCTGTAGAGGAAAATCCCCAAAGAGGCTGGTTATGGTAACAGAAAAGCAACCCACTGAATCAGAACATGAAAGGCCATCACAAGAACACAAAAAAAAATGTAGATATACTTCGTTGTTTTTTGCACGCAACGCGTAGTCCACATCCTCAACCAATAAATTCGTCCTCTTGGAATGTCTCATAAATTTGATGCTGTCCTGGAAAACAAAGGCAAGATCGGATAAAGAGATGATACGTGTTTTGGCCATATCAGAGTCAAGTAATTCAGATCAGAGCACATCGATCACAAATAATATTGGATGTTGATACCCACTTCAATCAATTGGGTCAATTGAAATATTATGTCAGCAAAACATCCTAGGATGTTTTGCTGACATAATCGCGGGAGGACTTGCCCACCAGTCAAGAACCGAGAATATCTTGGTTCTTGATTGGTGGGCAAGTCCTCCCACCCGTCTCTGAGGGGCGGGTTCTTCTGCCCGCCCCTCGGAAGCCTGTTTCCTTGGGAAATCAGCATTCCAAGGGGCGTGCGATCAAACCCGCCCCTCAGAGACGGGAGGGTGTGATTGCACGCCCCTGTTGGAGGGGTGTAGGCGTGGGATGGCGCGCAGGGTGGGAGGAGTGCGACTATCATCTACACGCTGACTGATATCGTACGCAGTAAAATCTATCAACATCTACATGATACACATGTGAATCTAGTTGATTCATTACTTGTGATGGATGAATTGAATTGAATTAGAGATGGTCGGTCCGCATCCGGATACCCGTCCGGATGCGGATATCCAATGGCAATGTCAGCGAAATTGCACATCCGCATCCGCACCCGCACCCGCTAGCGGGTATCCGTCGGCCGCAGCGGGTATCCGAGCGGGTATCCTCGGATACCCGCCCTCTAAAGGGCCGGCAACGGACCGGCTGGAAGGGTTGCCTTCCAGCCGGCGAGGTACTTGTACCTCGTCGACTGGAAGGGTTTCCTTCCAGCCGACGAGGTACTTGTACCTCGTCGACTGGAAGGGTTGCCTTCCAGCCGTCGAGGTACTTGTGCCTCGCCGGCTGGAAGGGCTTCCTTCCAGCCGGCCATCTCCCCTCCCGGCCGCGGGTATCCTTTGGGATACCTGGATACCCGCCGGCGATTTGCGGAAAAGGGGCCATCCGCACCCGAATCCGCACCCGCTGGCAGGTATCCGTTGGCACAGGCGGGTATCCGCCAGCGGATAACGGGTATCCGCAACGGATATCCTTCGACCATCTCTAAATTGAATTGCTTGTTTGTTTGAATCAATGACCACTAGTGCTTGATCAATCAAACCCCCAGTATTTTTGAACAAGGTCTTCAATGAAAAAACCAAAAAAAAAGTATGTGTGTGAGAGAGAGAGAGAGAGAGAGGAAGTGTTTAGAAGTGATGGAACCATGATTGAAGAACTTCAAAATGCATGGGAAAAAAAATGAATTAAAGAAATTGAATCATAAACATGAAGAATATCATACACACACACACACAAAAAGATATGGGAGAGAGAAAGGGCAAGGGAAAGTACACTAGTAATACAATGCAAAAACAGTCATAGAGAGGTTGAGTGGAGAGGGGTGTGTGTTTGTCTTGAATCATCAACAGAGAAGGAAAGAAAACAAAAGAGGTCTTTGGTGAGGAACCGAAGGTATATATAAATCATTGTAAGGGAAGAGAGGTCAAACACCACACACCTACACATAAAGAAAGCGGATCGAAGGGGATGAAAATGAGATACATCGAAAACAAAAACAAAACCAAAGAGGAGGGGAAGATGGTATAATATCAAAATCAGTCGAGGAGTAGGGGCTTTTTTTAAGGGTGTCAGAGATTGAGAGAAGACGAGGGAGAATGAGGAGGTAAGAAGAGATGATGATTGACCAGAGCAGAAGAGTCGGAGGAGGGATTATGGTCGTCATCAGACGAAGTTGAAGAAGCCGAAGAAGAAGCAGAATCAGAAAAGGAATGAGAAGAGACCGAAAAGGATTGAGAGGAAGAAGAAGAAGTGGTAGAAGAGGAGGAAGTTGGAGTAGGGAAAGAGGATTTAGAGAGACGATGAGGCGAGGGAATAGGAAGGAAGCTAGGTTGAAAGGATTTCTTAAGGATGTGTTCCTTGGTGAATGGAGTGGAGAGATTAGTGAACCAAGGATGATTGAGGAGTTGATCGACTGAGGAGATTCTACGATTAGGATCTTTAGCGAGTAAGTCGACTAGAAGGGCCCTACAAGTAGACGAGAGTTGTTTAGGTAGTCGAGGTTCTCGATGGATGATTGAGTGGAGCAGGGCAGACAAGTCGGTTGAGAGCGAGGCAAAGGGAGCGTGGCCGGTCAAGCACTCGAAGAGACAGGCGCCAAGACTGTACCAATCGACGCGATGATCGTACTCTTCCCTGCGGACGATCTCGGGAGCGATGGTATGAGGGGTGCCACAGATCGTCGTGGCGCGTCCTTGAGCGGGCATGGTCGAGAGTCCAAAGTCGGTCAGCTTGAGATGACCATCCGAACCCAACAAGATATTCTCGGTCTTCAGATCCCGGAAGATGATCCGGTTTGCATGCAGATAGTCGAGTGTGCAGCCGAGCTCGGCGGCATAGAGGCGACTCCGGGTCTCGCCCAGGGCGCCGAATTCGAGCACATGTTCGTACAGGTTCCCGCCCGAAACATACTCCAGTGGGACCAAGAACCATCCCGGGCCCCCAGACCGTTCCGGGCCACAAAGATGGACAATAAACGGGAAACTCCGGTCCAGTCGATGCAAACTCGCCAGCTCGTTCGCTACCATCTTTCCAATCCCCATCGTCGGCGTGGTCGTGTGGGCCGGCAAGGGCGGCTCACAGCCTGTTCCATCCTCCTCCTTCGTCCCACTCAACCGAATCGCCTTCAACGCACACATCTCATCCATCCCCTCAACGAGCTTCTTCTTCCTTCGTACTAGCCACACTTCACTCGTGCTTCCTTCGCCTATCTTCCGTATCATTTCATACTCTTTTGTACCCCACCCACTCGTCTTCGTCTTCGTCGGTGTCGTCGTCGGTGTCCTCCCTATCCCTATCGACTCCCCATTCTTGCTGTTCATCTTCGGGAAATTGTATGTGTTCTTCATCTTTCATCAATTCTTCCCTTTACTTCTTCCCCCGCCCTCAGCAATTGTTGTATATAGATTGTCGTAAATGATCGAACAAACTGCTGAGATGTGTGGATTTTGATTATCTGCTGGTTATGAATAAGAAGCTATAGCGGTGTTTCTGTCTTTTTTTTTGGTGAAGGGGATGGAAAGGAGGAAGCTGAATGTGAGTTACACTAGCTGAGCCAAGTCATGTGAGAGGAGCAGTTGTTTGAATGGTGGGATATAAGGAGGACAGACATGACGAGTTTGAAATTCGATCGATGGTTTGTCTTGATTGAAAATTTCCCAAAAAAAAGAAGAAGACGAAGAAGAATGAAAATGAAAAAAAGAAAGATGCAGCCGCTGCTTCGGACTGAAAAAACAAAAGCCCACTTAGAGTAGAAGATGGATATTTTAAAGGCGGGGTCTGTTGAAGCAAGCTCGATGAATGCTTCGATCAATTAAGATTTATATTATATAATGAAAGAATTAATTAATGAAATCAAAGTATAATTTATCATCTGGATCTGAATAAATCCAGTTGATTGTGATGTGTGAGTGTGAAAAAGGAGAAAGAAGAGGAAATGCGCACCGAAGAGAGCAAGGGATTGTTGTGCTGGAGAGGAAGATTGATGAAGATGACGATATGTATATAGGGTAGCAGGTGATATAGCTTTAAATGACCAATGAAATCGGGTGTTGATGAGGATGTGTATGAAACAGCGAGCCAGCTTCGAGATCACACACCAACCTGATTGTTTTTTTTGATGAAGGAGGAATGATTGATTACCCCGCTCCAGCAAGCAAACGAAGTGACGGAGAAAAAAGCGTTGAGGGATGGTGTGAAAGCGAAAGCCGATCAGCGCTTCCGTTTCGGTTATCCGATTTCCTCAATTGAGAGTCTGGGGGTTGGATATATAGCTTTGAGGGTGTGTGTGTGGGGTGTGTGGGTTGTGGGGTGGCCCAGATGGACAGGAGGGGGGGACCGAGGGCTATTATTCAAGGTGCTTGGATAGTATGGGCTCTTTAATGTGATGTGAATACATATATCCGAAAAGAGAATCGAATTGGATCTTTGGAAAATGAAAGTGGTCTTTGGGAAAAGGCGAGATGAGTCGATGGCCTGATGATTCGCTTTACTAATAACAAAGAATCGATAATCTTTGGATATTTATTGTAAGGAGCCTGAATGAGCCTGCAATTTGATGTCCCTCTCGTCCGACCCCGAGGTGAAGGATTTGTTGAGTGCTAAAATAGATATGTATTTATGTAACTTGCAAAGAAAGAGACGAGCGACAACAGATGCGAAGGACCAAACAGCGCTTCTTTTTGCTCACCAATCCCGGGTAGTTGCTCTGCTCATCCTCCTCCTGCTCCTGATTAAAATTCTTGAAGTGTAGTTTGTAATTTCAAAACAGCCGTTCTGGTGTTTGTAACTTGAGTATCAGTTCGAGACACACGCTGTATATGAAAGAGTGGTTAGGATAGTCCGGATCCGTGATGGGGGTTGTGGTTGGTGCGAGAGGTTGTGTGTCGTTTGTGTGGGTTGTGGGTTGTGGGTTGTTAGAAGAAGAAGGAGAATGGTGTCGATTTTTGCAAGTGTCAAGGTTTTGGGAGGTTGCAGCAGCAGCTGCAGTCTGCAGACAGATGAGAAGTGTGGATAGCGTGCTCGTTGAGTTGTTGTTGCAAGGACAGAACGGATGGACTCTGTTCTGAGTTTCGGGAAGCTTAACATAGATCTTGTACATCCATCCATACATCAATACATGTTGTAACGATAGAAGGAAGGCCCAATGCCAGGGTGTTCGATTCCGTGATCTGTTGGTCGATCGACGCACACCAGCCAGCTCAGCCACCATGATCAGTTGGTGACTCTGCCGCACATACAAAAAAGCCTTTTCTCTATCTATCTCTCTAATTAATCTCTCTGTTCTGCAAGCCCTTGCAAGCCTCTATAGGCTCTTGGTGAACAAACCTGGAAAGAAGTTGAACGAAAACAAAACCCGGGTTGGGATGGATAACTTCATATATTCATTTGTAGGAGTCTCGGCCTGTGGTCTGGGCTCTACATAGTGAGCTACAGCCTACAAAGATGGGGATAACGAGTATACATACACAATGACGGTTGTGACCAAGGAAATCGAATGCGAAGGTCTTTCTCACATTTTTTTCAGTGCTCAGAGGATTCACAACACTCATTATAAAAAAAAACAGCCCAAGCTCCATCCGACGATTGTAACTGTTCTTGTCGATGTCCACTAGACAATATGTAGCTACATATTCAGCTGGGAGAGACTCCTAAAACATTGGCCATTTTTCAGTCTGAGTTCATGTGATTCGTTTGAGGAATCTCTCGGCCGACGAAGCTCGGCTGATGATGAATCCGACCTTTTTTTTGTAGAGAGAAGTTGTTGTTGTTGTTGTGACGGATGTGGATATATGCTGATTGCTGGCTGACTTGATTCACTGCAACTTGCAAAGTTGTTTTTCACGAGCTTTGACCTGCAAATCACTTTATGTAAAGTTGAAAATCCGGGTTCTCCGTAATCATGAGATTGGAGCACGTCATCCGCTTGACTCATCCGTGAAATACATAGGAGTCCGGAATTGGTGATGACTGGTTGAGCGGAGAGGCCGACCGAACAAGCTGAAAGTGTAGCGTGAAAGCAGCCTCGATTTGTTTCAAGTCGTCAGGATTTATGAACGAGTCCAGGACGCCGGAGACTGATCACAGGATGAAAAAAAACACGTTTGAAGGGGGAGAGAGAAAGGTTGTGTTGATGATAACACCTTAAACATGATGATCTGGGTCATCAGACTGCTGCAACACTCGTTATCACAAACCTTCTTCCTTCAAATCGGAGCGGGTCCAGTCTCCGGCAGACCCTTGCCGGAACCGAGCGCATCGTTCATGCCGGGCCCTACACAACTTATAACCCTGCCCTAACTCGAAACTTGTAGCACTTCAAATCTCAAGGTATGTATGCAGGTTTTGGTCCCAAGCTGCTCCCTTCTCTTCAATATTTACAAACATCGGCCGGTCCATCTGCTAACTTCTGAACCAACCATATACCGTATAGAAGACTCAGAGACATTCTCATTTGTTTCTTCACTCCCAATCATATTTAGATACCCACAGTTCTCTCATCCAAGTTCCCTCTCTTCTAAAAAAAGAAAAAAATCTGATCATTTAGAAAAAAAAAGTTTCATTCAGGAAGTGATGCAGATTGAGTTCTTCTTCATCTTCCAAAACAAAATGAAAAGAAAAAAGAATTATGGGGCACCAAAATTTGTGGGTCATGACATAAAGCATCCCAGATTGTCACCAGATGGAGGAGGAGGGTCCATGATAACACAAACTCTTCTACTAGCCCAGGCATAGACAGCCACTCCTGCATGGCTGTGGGTGTGCATCCAAACAAGTTTTTTTTTTGGAGGTTTGGGAGCACACAATTTGATAGGGCGCCCTGACCATCCAATTTTGATATACAGTCCTACACACCAAAACAAATGGCACACTGGCCAAAAAAAGTCACTATTTTGGTTTACACATTCAAATATTCTCTGCTTGCATAACTCCTCTGAGATCTTCTAGCCCAGACTGATTGCCAGTTCAGAGTCCCATGCAGGCTTCAAGGACAGCTGGAAGCCCCACAACTGTGCATATTCTTATGGCCCCTGCACAGAAATACAGATCACCCTTTAATGTTGTTTTTTGTAGCTTAGAGAGGTAAAAAGTTCATTGGGCTTCAAGTTGATGGTCTGGGTTCCAAACTATGGAAAATGGACTCCAACAGGTCCTTCTGACATGCTGGATGTAACATTCTTTCTTAAAACAATTCTGTACTTTTTTTGCCCATCATTTTGGGAACTTTCACTCCTGTTTTGAAAACAAAGAAAACTGAAAAACTGAGGATTTCATGTTGAAGTAATGATCATAAATGATCTCAGCCTGTGAGGAGAAGGGATTTCGTCACTTGTAGCTGTGTCTTGATAGACCAGACAATTGGTTGGAAGTTCTGGTTTAGTAATCACGAGTTTGTTGTTTAATGTTAAACAGTTGAATAGTAAAGGAGCTCATATATATAGGTGCACCTGGGCTCTCTCATATCAAGTCAGGGAGGTCCAGTTCATGAGGCATCTTACTCCAGGACCTCCTTTGTGGATGCAGTAGGAGAACAAGAGTGTTCTAAGTTGATCCCAGCCAACTTTTACATCAAAACTTCCTTCAGCCACCAGCGAGCTCAGCACCTCAACTCCTGTCCCCCCATGCTCTGGCAAGACCTTGCTTGGAGCACACAGACAGGCAATGCCGACCGGGATTTATTGCTTGTGTGTTTTAAGAACAATCCCCTTCCTTGTCTCACACAAAATCAGTTGTCAGGCTTGGTGATGCCAAGGCAATAGGCCTTCTAGCTACACTGGCTGATGATGCTGGTTTGGTAGGGGATGAAGACTAGATATAATTGAATAGATAAGGAGGGGCCCAGGTTGCGGGGGTGTTTAGGATGCCGTCCTGGAATCACTAGCTTTTAACATGCTTGTCACAGCGGTTCACTTGTGCTGCATAGTCTTACAGGATCCTAGTGATGTAGAGCACCTGATCAAGGCACTAGGAGAAGGTGCTGAGATCCATGTGCACAAAAGGATTGTTTCTCAGGCGGAGCCCAAATAGTTTTTTGGCCCAGTCCGAGACAAAACTATTTTGGTTGCGGAGTTTTATCATTGAGATCTGATAAAGTCTCTTTTCACCCCCCGCAAAATAGCTCCCTCCATCCGCAACAATCTCACTAATCATTCCCTCAAACACCGTCAGTAAATTCTTTCGTCAATAAAGACGACTTTGTTACAACTTGGGATGACTTCAACATGGTGTCATCATTCTTTAGGTCTTTGAAGGAGCCAGTGAAATTGGCTTTATTTGACTGGGAAGAAGCCTATAGACAAATTCCCACGCACCCATCTCAGTGGCCGTACCTGATGGTAAAAGGAATGGATGGCCAGCTATATCTCAACACAAGAATTACGTTTGGTGGCGTAGCCGGTTGTGAATCTTTGGGTAGACCGGCGGACACGTGGAAAGAGATAATGGCATCTGAATTCAACCTTATGAAGATTTTCAGGTGGGTCGACGATAATTTATTCGTCAAGAACCTCACATCTGAAACAGAAATGAAAGACATCATAGCAAGATCAGTCAAACTCAGAGTCCTGACGAACAAACAGAAATGTTCTGTATTCTCGGATGAACAAAAATTTATTGGCTTTTTATGGAATGGAATTTCCAAAACCGTACAATTACCCTCAGAGAAGCTGGAACAGAGGAAGGCGCAAATTACAGTCTTCTTGGACAAATCGAAATTTTTTTCTTACAACAAGGTCAAAGTTCTGACGGGGAGGCTGAACCATGTCACATATATGCTCCCTCAGCTTAGGTGTTATCTTCGAGGCCTCTACAGATGGTTAATAGATTGGTTCAATCTGACCGCAAGACGATACACACCACAAGATGTTTTTGAAGACTTGACACGGTGGGCCAAAACGTTGAACACTTTCAAACATACCAGACTAATATCGTCAAGCAAACCAATTGATATTGGATGGGTCGGAGATGCATCCACAAGTTTTGGGGTCGGAGTGATGATAGGAAAGTATTGGAGCCAACTGAAAATTTTGAAGGAACGGAACGTCGACCTACCAAAATGTAATATTGCTTGGTTGGAGACGGTGGCAGTCAGGGTTGGTTTGATTATGTTACAACAGTTGAACCGTTTCAAGAAAGGGTCCAACTTACTAGTCTGGACAGACAATACTACAACTGAATCCGTCATAGAAAAGAGGAAATCGGGCAACAAACATGTCAATAACGAGTGGAAGATAATACAAGAACTGCTCTTGTCAGAGGAAGTTGATTTAACCGGGAAAAGGGTGAAACCAGACAACAATATTGCGGATAAATTGTCGAGAGGGGTGTCTTGCGGGCTGTTAGACCGCAACAGGGTTTTCTTTCAGATTCCTGACGAATGGGTCCCTTATTTGTGCCACGCCCGAAAGGTGTTCTGATTGTTCTATTAGAATATAAAACCCTCCACATCTATTTGAGCAATATGTTGTTACACACCTTAGTTATTAAACCTCAAATTCTTCAATCATGTTAGATAACTCGGACGACATAGTTATAATTGATAATGAAAGACTTACAGTAGGTCATTTAAACAAGATACAAGCATTTTCAGTGAATGGTACCGCTCATTGCCCTATATGGACACTTAATGCACATCTACTTAGCGGGTGGAAATGGAATACTATTGTAGGGTACAATGTGGCTGTTAAAAAATTCATATTTTTCAAGAACCTTTCCGGTAACCATAATTTCAAGTTACCAGCGTCAGACAAGGATATTGAAGATTTCTGTTTTTGGGCGGGACAAAAGTTGTATCTAAACAACTCTTATAAAATTTAGGCGGGATCTATCAAAAAGTATCTTTGCGGTCTAAAGGCTTGGCATACATTTCACGGAGTAGAATACCCAGACGTATCAGACAAACGGATAGAACTATTGATAAAAGTGTCCTCAAAAGTAGATGCAACATTACCGACAAAGCCGAAGAAACCACCGATAATGTTGAAACACCTAATTTGGCTGTCAAATGCGTAATTCCCGGGCGGCAATATTGACAGAACAATTATGGACCTGGCAATCGTCGCATTCTGGGGAATGGCTAGAATCGGAGAATTCACATACGAAAACACGCTAGGTGATCTCAACAAGGAAAATTCGATTTTGACGTCGGATGTACAAATCGTCAAATCAGCTATTGGAGAGAAGGCTATTTTGACTGTCCGCAACACTAAGACAGCACAACCAGGAAAACCGCAAAAAATCATTGTGCATAGTTTGAACAACATGATATGTCCTGTTTTAGCGATCAAAAGAAGACTGGATGAAGCAAACGGTAACGACAAATCTTTATTTGGATTCTATCGAGAAGGCACAAGACGTCACTTAATGAGGACAATTGCTGTCAACAGGATCAAATTAGTTTTAAGAACGGGAGGTTTTGAAGGCCTACTTGGCCATTGTCAGCCTCTGGGTAACTAACCTGAGTATTTAATAGTAAAAAGGTTGTTACTATGAGTTGACTGAAGTTTTTGAGCGTGGTGAGTATTAGGTAGTGGGTGATTAATACCGGTCCTGTAAAGAGGAGGTTTCACTCTATCAGTATGGTCTTTACTGAGAGGCTTGCTATCAACAGTGCATCCGGATCAATACAAGGTATTAATAGGCATCCAGGGTACTAAGACTCACCTGGGATTGATTTGGTTATTCCCAAAAGGAAATGGGCTAACAATACTTATTAAGCTTTAACAAAATTAGTTGAAGATTAACAGGTATTGTTGATGGGAATATTCAGCAAGGCTATGAATACTGTGGATAAGTTGAGTAAGAGTACTGAAGCTTAAGAACAATAAATGTAGACAAGATTTATGTTGGTTACGTGTACTGTATCAATATAAATGTTAACTGGTTTAACTGGTGTCTGAATATTCTGGGTATTAATCAGAGAAAGAGGCACAGATTATAAGTTCCAGAATATTGAAGGAGGGAAAGAATGAGCGCTCAGAATCAAGGGAGCTTTGGCCAGGAGAATGAGCACATCAATTGAGAAACTGATCATTATTTGTCATAATCTGTAAGTGACATCATAATTGTGTACTAGTTGATCAATGTACTAGTTGCTCTTGATGCGTGTACTTAACAGATCCTCTAATAATGTAGTCATAATTGTGATCACTGCATGTATTGAATGTATTAATTCTATTGACACTTAATACTTACTATTTAATACATGTACATATTTATTTGTAATAATATTTGACTGTGAAAATACTGTAGAAGAGGGATAACTTGTGGTACAGGTATTTCACGGAAAAAGGAGTGAAAGGTAAGTAATAATTACTTATGTAGAACACAGGTATGTATTTAATAGATAAGTAATTAACAGATAAGATAAATATAAGATAAATAAGATAAGTTAATAATAATGATAAGATAACAAGAGGTAAAGGTAATCAACATTATGTATAAGTACTTACGCACATAAGTACAGGTGTTGCAGTTACTTGGTACATGAAAGGTACTGTGACATGTACTCTGTGGCTGACAGCCATTCTTTTAGGGTCGGAGGCGCCTCATTACGTTACGCACTAGGGACTCCAGTAGAAGAAATATGTCTGTTAGGAAGGTGGATATCAAATTGTTATAGACTTTATATTAGGGAATACTCGGCTGAAGATACCCAGGAGAGTAAAAGAATTACATCAGAGCTGAACGAGTTGTGGGAAGAGGATTAATCTTTGTGTCAAGTGTCTTGATAGATTGGAGATATAGGTTTTTGCATGAGGCTCAGGATCCTATCATCAGTAGAAAATTTACACCTGAGTTGATGGTGTCTTTGTTCCTAAACCTATCTCTTTCACTTTTCATTAAAAAAGATAAATTAAAATCTTTCTTAATACACATTGATTATTCCACGTGGTCCCTAAATATTTCTGATTCTTAAATATTGGTCAAAAAGACCTTGAAAAAATTTCTATAATAATATTTAAAGAATTAAGATTTAGTTACCACCCACACTCTGGATTGGTGGAGGAAATTATTTCCACACCTATCCTAAGAGATGACACCTTATGGCTCATCTCTGATAAGAGTACCACAGGAATGATTAGAGTGCTTAATGGATACTGGGGTATTTGGTCTGAGTAGTGTGTATGGACAGAGGAATAGCAAGTAAAGCTATTCCTTGCAGAATTGTATTGGAAAGGGGTTAAACTGGAAAAAGTTGCGGAAAAAACACTGTACTGGTAAACTGATGATTTCTAGCTCCCTGGTTTACTGGTTCTTTTTATACTGTAGGTACCAATACTGGATGCTGGAAAGGGAAATGGAGTTCACCAGTCATCTCTGAGAATCTGAAATGATGTTTAATTTTCCAGGAGTTTTGACAGGGGAAATCTGCCCATCTCATGTCACATTCTCCTGTCATGATGTCTCTTTAATATGTCACGAGTTTTGGTAAAGGATATTTTATGTCATTCATTTTTGTAATATTATTTGATTATTAAATCTATCACTTATTATCTTGAGTTATTTATGGAAATATTGCAGGTCAGCTTGACTCTGTAATAGTAGCAAGCTGACATCAGTCCACCCACTTGCTAGTACTCGCAATTCACAAAATTTGCCAAAATTGTTGCATAACTCTTTTTCTCACTAATTACTAATTTACCTATCCGCCATCGCAGATCCGTTTGGTTTGGGTCTCAATCAAGCTAACTATCGATATCAGATGGACTTGCGTTCTTCTCTCCAAGAAACACTGAAACTAGTGAACCCCCAGGCTGGGGAGCACAGCAATCATGAGCATGGAGAAATTCCACTTGCAGGAATGGAGGAAAATAAATGTAAATATCTCGATGTACTTGGATTTTTTTTATTGCCTGAGGCTGATCTCCAGACTTCTAAAAAATCGAATTACTTGTTGGGTTACTGCAGTTGAGATGGAACAAATAGTAACGGGAATTAACAATATTGTCAAACGAATAAATGAACTTGACCCCAATTCCAACCAAGAATTAGTTAGGCTCAAGTCAACACTGTTGCAGCTTTGTCGTGCTTTCAGGAAACCTGCTGAGGAGAAAGTCCGACAACTCAATGGAGCCGGCCGTCAACCCAGAGCCCAGTCTGGCTAACAGAGTCAATTTGTGTGAAGCTGCAAGATCAGCCACGGGATATGCAACTGCCGGGGCCAGAGACTATTCTGCCCTATCCCGGCCACTCCTTGAACACAGTGATTTGCTTGAGTCTGAACCACTGATCTTGACCGACCAACATCACCATACTCTCACTTTCAAAGCCACCTTTCCAGCTGATGGAAGCAAGAAACACAAGACCGTACTTGAAGCTTGTCTTGCAGAAAAGGGAATAGAGCGCCCATTAAATTCTTTTCTGGGTCTGTTGGATGGTGATGAATATGAAATTGGCAAAGGTCTCACAGAGCCTGAAAAGATTGAAACTTGGAACTTGATACAGAAGAAACTCAAGGAATTCAAATCTTCAGGTCAAGTTCTGAGTCAGCAAGAAGTACGATTCCAGGTTGATTTTATAAAAGCTTTCAATCGTTTAGCCAACCACGTTCTTCAAAATAGACTATTAAACTCGGTCAAAAGTATCAACAGCTACAAGCCAGAGACTGTCGTGAGCATGGTCAAGATGTATAGCGAGCTTGTATTCCAAAGGTTGGGCAGGAAGGTTTTTGACTCTTGGATGTCTTCTGTTCCAGATCTCAATTTCCTGACATCCGGCTGGGATCTGAGGCACTTTCATAGATCAATAAAAGGTGAGCTATCTTCTCTTCTCGGTCTTGGATCCTGCTTACACTGATAATGATGCTGATACACCTCCTTACAGCCCTCTCTGCTCAAGGTCAGGAGAAAGTTGTACATGCCGTCATGGGTAAGGTACTATCACATACACGGGAATTCTTCTCCTTGAGAGGATCCCAGTTCAGCAAACGATTTGCCAAAATTCACCAGGAATTTATAGAATTACAACCCAATTTCCTCGGCCAAACCCACAGTCTTTCTACAAAATTGGACCAGGCCGGACCAGATACAATTGATGAGGTAATGAAAGGATCTCCAATCACATCTTTCACAGAAAAACTGGTCGATTTTTTTAAGAAACCCGAACTCACTACACCCGACCTGGAACAAAGAAGGATCGAGTACCAGCTGGTTTACTACATGCTGAATTTCATTGACCAAAACCACCCTCAAATCATCAGCAAGACGGTAAAATGCACTGAGACAAAGTTACCGAGGACAGAGCGGGACAAGCATTGATATGTTTTTGCAGAGCAACTCAAATTTATGAGAGCTTATTTGAAACACTTCCCCAATCAAAATCGTGGCAAATACTACACCGGTGGATACCAGGATTTGAGCCGGTTTGGAAGGATGTCAAAGACTGGATCAATGCTTATGTCATCAAGGTATTTGACCATACTGACTGGATTAACTGGTCCCACCAAGACAAAAGCTTAAAGTTTGACCTTTGGATGGGAAAAGTTGCAAAAAAATAGACATAGGCAGATTTTGAAGGTCAATGGTTATCATGAATCCTGTAAAGAGTTCTCTTATTTGCTCAAACCGCCCTCCTTATTTTGTTTATTTATTATTATTATTGTTTTTTGATATCCTATTGAAGGGTTTGAAGACAGCTGAATTGAGCGTCGGGGCTATCAACCCTACCCTAAGTGGCAGTTGTTGGGATCAGCAACTCGGCCCGGGGGAATCTGAAAGACGGAGAGTATTGAGGTCAAACTGTAGCTGTTGTGGCAGAAGCGTGGAAAGATTAATGGGATGCTATTCACATTGAATGTAGGGTCCAAACAGCACTCCTCGAGCCCTTTCTGGCAGATAAAAAATGTAGTCCCCGCTCCGTTCGGCCGCAGGGCGGGTGAAACTGCAGTTCGCAAGTTACAGTCGATCAACCTTTCTTCTGTTCAGCTAGTAAAATTGGTTCAGATTCTGGACTCACGAACATCGCCCGAGCCCAACACCGTGTACAGGCAACCACCTGCGCCATATGGTGAATGACAGTCGAATGCAAGTGCAAGCTTACAAGTCACAGCCAATATAACAACGCTTGATTTGAAAAAGTGCATGATGGGGTTGAACTCAAGAGGAGAGGATATTCAAAAGGACTGTTGGGTGGAGGTACGCTCAAGGCAAAGTATCGTTCAACGTGGATTGCTGATTTTGAGAATAACGCTCAGGATAGTCGCGCCCTTTATATATACATCTCGGTTGAGGATCAAGCCCGATTACATCGCAATTCTTTGGATTCTAGAAACTACACTTGCGCGTGCTAAATTTCCTGTATCGGTTTTTGAGCTGTGTAAAAGGGTGGGTCCTCCCAAAAAACCCGAGTTACAACCCCCAAGGAATGGGGGTTCTGGAGATTTTCAGGGGCGGAGAGGACATCGGCCTGCTTTTGTCGGCCACACAAAACCATGCGGGCTATGAGGACTCCGAGCCTAACACAAGACTTAGTGATTCGTGAGGACTCAGCTGGGCGATCTGCCACAACAGTCCGTTAGACGCTACACCGCAAGCTCACTTGTTTCAATCGATTTGAAATCAAAGCTAAATTTGACTTCGCGTGGCACGGTAGCCCCTGGACCTATGGACGACACGGCCCATCGAGCCACGCTTTGAAGTTCGTTTTTTGTTTTTGGCGTCGTACAGTGCGTATGTTGGGCGTTGATAAACGCACGCTCCTCATGGGCACACGCGCCTGCCCAAACCACTCTTTTGAGGAGCGTGCGTTTAACTACGCCTTCTAGTCCATCCACTATGCCTTCTGGACCACAAGGAAGTAAGGGCGAGGGCCGAGCATCACTGCTCGGCCCTTCCTTATCCGCGCTCAGAGAGCGAGGAGGGGTACCTCTCGCGGCGCCGAGGGATCGGCGCCGGGTGTGTAAACCTGTACTGTTTCGGTATCATTTGATACCTAGGGAGTCCTGGAACCAAGGCCTGTTACGGCCTGGTTCCCGAGACTCCCGAGTGTGGGTTGGGGGGTGAGAATGCTCAGGTAGTGGCTAGTAAACCACGAACTGGCGCAGCGCTTCTTGCAGACTCCGGTCGGGATCATCCGCCCGGGACTGATCTGCCGACGGAGAAACTCGAGAGCGCCCAAGCTCACCCCGGAGCAGGAGGACACCGGTTGAGTGGAGCCGAAGCTCGACCCAACCTCTCTCTTACTATTTTGCCTGGGTGGGCGGGAGGTAAGGGAAAAATGAGGATGATCTAGGGGCGACTGAAAGGGCTATTCTCGATCGTGGAAGGTGAACTGAATGGATGCGAGAAGGATAGCAAGAGGTTCTAGGGAGGGGGAAAAGAGCTGGCTAGCTAGTCGAGCTCAGTACATCAAGACCCTCGACCTGGTGGGTAGGACGGCCACGTGGCCAGGCTCAACCCTTTGTCCGGTAAGTCCGGCCAGGAGGCGTGCTAGCACCGCATGGGCACCTGGCCACGTGGCCTAGATTGTTAATGACGGCGGCGAGGACCCCGGAAACCCCCTACAAATGTGGGTGACGAAAAATCCAATATTTTGTGAAATTTCATACATTTTTGGAACCCATTCATACAGCCAAACCAACAATGCTTGCAACTTTCGAAATAAAAAATAAAAAATTCGACTTGCAAAGAAAAACTTTTTGGCTTATGGGACAGTATGCAAGGTGGGAAAATCAGGACAACTCAACTATCTGCTATCACACAGTGAGAGTTCCGACAGGCAGCCAACTGACATTTCAATTAAATTTTTTTTTTTTTGCTCAAGCGAACTTTTATTTTTTTTGTAAAAAGTTGCAAGCATTGTTGGGTATGCTGTACACGTTTTGTGCGTATGCTCAGGGGATTTCCAATATTTTCATACATTCTTTGTGCCTACCATTTTTTTTCTTGCCTGAGAGGCTCAAAGCCCATTTTTGCAGCAAGCCTTTCTCCCTAACTATAGGGGCGCCAATCTGTGTTGGTGCACACGCCAACACAAAGAAAAACAACAAAAAAAGTATGGAATTGTTGTAGGTGAGATAAGTACATAAAACTAGAAGTTTTATTGGTGAGGGGGGAGGCTGGGGGAGGGGGAGAGGCAAAAATTCAGGCCAAGTCATGCTGCCAAGGGGGGGGGGGGGGGTGCCAAAAATTACCACTTGTGCACACCCAGGACTTTCATACATTTTTTCTATAACACCCGCCCCCCCCTTCCGCCAAAAAAAATTTCAAACTCTGAGGGGGGGGATGCCTCCCTACCAACAAAGGGCCTCCCAAAGGATTTTGGGAGAACATTTTGGGTAATTCCCCAAAAATTTATATATTTCCGTCTCCACACATTATGGGGGTGTCCGGGGCCCTTGCGCGGCGCGGGGAGAAACCCCACTTACTGGGTCGTCGGAAAGATATCATTCTCTCTTCTCGCCGGGGGGAGGAGAAGGGGGACCCCTCCCTGGGGGG